GTTCTTCCCCGTAAGACCAGAATCTGGTGTTTGCTCTCATCTTCTGGTTCTCAGAAGCGGTCCTCCCCTCGTTAGGCCCCAGCATTGCCCTGTCCCCCGCCTCGGAGCCCCGCCCTCAGCGCTCAGTGCCCTGGGGAGGAGTGCCTGAGGCCAGGCCGCAGGAGCGCTTCCCTCCCTTGGTGCCCTGTGTGTCCTCAGTCCGCAGCCCCAGTGGACTGGCTGGTTTTCTGGAATCCAGTTTGACCTTTGGGGGTGCAGAGACCAAGCTGATCTTGCGGGGGTGAGTGGGCGAGGGCGCAGAGTGGCTGGCGTGGCGCCCCAGCGGCCAGCAGAACCAAGTGCGGGGGGAGTGGGGGCTGGAGGCAGGGGGCTGAGCGGCTGCCGGTGAATGAGTGCGCATTTTGGGCAGCTACTCTGTGGAGTGGCTTTAGCGGTTGACTGAGGAAGAGGCCTCTTGGCAGAAGGAAAAGATTGGGGGAGTTGTATAATTTCCTCTCGTTAATAATCCTTGTGTTCATGGGTCACCTTCTGTAGGAGCGCGCGCTTGCAGCCCGCGGCAGACGTTAGCTGCCTACCCGTGGAGGCTGTCATCGGTGACGGCCCCCGCCGCTTTAAAAGGCACTCATGGTCCTCTGTCCCATCACCTGGGAAGGGGACAGGCTGCCGCCCCCCTACGCCCCCAGGGGCTGTGTCCCTTTCGGTTCCTGGAGGCAGGCAGCGTGGTCCAACAGGGTCCCTCCTGTGTCGGGAGCCGAGGGTGGGAGCCCTGGTGGCCCTGGGAAGAGGCGGGGCAGCGGGGGTGGTCCGTGCCCCCCACCCCCCGCCCGAGTGCAGGCTTTGCGGTGGGGCAGGCGGCACCTCCCCGGATCATCCCCGCCGGTCCCGTCTAGTGTCCGCAACCACCGGCTGAGCCCGGCTCCGAAGAACGCGCCGTCCGGTGCCCTTTGGGAGAGGGGATGCCGTGGACTGGAAGCGGTCCAGGCCGACCTTGGCGAGCGGCGCGCGCCCCCGAGCGTGAGGCCGACTTTCGGAGTAACCTGTGACCCCTGTCGTTGTAGGAAGACATGGCCGCTCACGTCGGAGCTTCCCGCACGCCGCAGGAGGTGATGGAGCATTACGTAAGCATGTACATCCACGGAAACCTGGGGAGAGCCTGCATCCCCGACACCATCCCCAACCGGGTGACCGACCACACGTGCCCCGGCGGAGGGCCCCTGTCCCCCAGCCTCACCACCCCCTTGCCTCCCCTAGACATCTCGGTGGCCGAGCAGCAGCAGCTGGGCTACATGCCGCTGCGTGACGACTATGAGATCGAGTACGACCAGGACGCCGAGACGCTCATCAGCGGGCTCTCGGTCAACTACGACGACGAGGACGTGGAGATCGAGCTGAAGCGCGCGCACGTGGACATGTACGTCCGCAAGCTCAGGGAGAGGCAGCGGCGCAAGAACATCGCGCGCGACTACAACCTGGTGCCCGCCTTCCTGGGCAAGGACAAGAAGGACAAGGAGCGGCCGGCCAAGCGCAAGGTCACCAAGGAGGAGAAGGAGCTGCGGCTGAAGCTGCGGCCGCTCTACCAGTTCATGTCGTGCAAGGAGTTCGACGACCTGTTCGAGGGCATGCACAAGGAGAAGATGCTGCGGGCCAAGATCCGCGAGCTGCAGCGCTACCGGCGCAACGGCATCACCAAGCTCGAGGAGTCGGCCGAGTACGAGGCGGCGCGGCACAAGCGCGAGAAGAGGAAGGAGAACAAGAGCGCGGCCGGCGCCAAGAGGGGCAAGGAGGACGGCAAGGACGGCGAGTTCGCGGCCATCGAGCACCTGCCGGGCTTCGAGCTGCTGTCGGACCGCGAGAAGGTGCTCTGCAGCTCCTTGAACCTGAGCCCCGCGCGCTACGTGACCGTGAAGACCATCATCATCAAGGACCACCTGCAGAAGCGGCAGGGGATCCCCTCCAAGAGCCGCCTTCCTAGTTACTTGGACAAAGTCCTCAAGAAAAGGATTTTAAATTTCCTCACGGAGAGCGGGTGGATATCCAGGGATGCGTCCTGAAAGCGCGCGGCTTTGCGGGCGGGCGCCGGGCTCGGGGCGCTGGCCGGCGAGCCCCGAGGACTTGGGGTGAGGGAGCGGCAGGAGATGCTTCCCCCCCCCCCCGCCCCCGCCGCCCCGTTGTTGCTCTTTTTTAAACAAATTGAGTTCCTTTCTTTTAGGCTATCAATTCTTTTCATGGTCCTCTGAAAAAGCAGCAATAGTAACGATTTTATGTCGGATCGTGGGGGAAGCCGATATATGTATATTTTAACTTAGTCCTGAAGTCATACCTTAAGATGACGATTTGCCTTTACATGTTCAGTTTGGGGAATATTATGAGATTGGGCCATTTCCTTTTGTGTCTTCCCTTTGGTACGCGACTCTCTTGGGCTGTGGGTAAGAGGAGCAGCTTTCTGCTGGGCCCGCCAGCCACCAGCTTGACCCTGTGACGGGACCCCTGGCTGGCCGCCGGGGACGCCCTCAGGGGGCCCACTGCCACCCCCACGGACACCCCAGCACAGCCCCAGCACGCGGCACTTTAGGTGGGGGCCGGGGCGGGGCAGGTGGGCAGCGAGGCTGGAGAACCGCGGGATGTTTCCCGGGAGCCTCAGAGGAAGGGTCGGGTGGAACACAGTGTCCGAGCGAGCTTCCCCTTGACTCCTGGCAGCGGGCAGTCGGAGCCTGCCGATGCCGAGCCCGGAAACCACCCCTTGCCTCACTTACCGGGGGCGGAGCCTGCGGGCTCACGCGGGCAGGCTCCCTGGTGTGTGGAGGGGGGCTCCGGGGCGCTGGCAGGACTGGCATGGGCGCCAGGACTCAGAGCCAGTCTTCCAGGGGGCTGCTGCTTGCCACCCTTAGGACTTGCAGTACCGAGCACCCCATTTGACTGGGAAGAACTCGTTTTAGAAATTGGAGGAGGGCTCTGAGTTCTGGAGTCCACGTCCTCCAGGATTTCATGGCGGTTGCAATGACCTTTTCCACTGCAACCCTGACCTTGACCGTGCTGGCCTGGCTAAGCGTCTTCCGGTGGTGCCCAGCGCTCTGCGGACCAGAGCTGGACTGGGCTGCTCGCGCAGCAGGCTCTGGCAGCGCAGGAGGGGGCCTCCGGGGCGAGGCTTCTCTGGGTCCCCGTCTTGGGCCGCTCAGCTTGTGCCCAGCCCTGCTGTGTGCAGGTGCCCCGCTCCCGTGGGTGGACGCGGTACCTTCCTCCTGGAACTTGAGTCAGTCATTTGGCTTCCTGCTGCTCAGGGTTGGTTCTCCTGTCTAAGGCCCTGCTTTAGAGTTGGGGTGACTGCAGAGCCCAGCCCTCCATTCTTCTGGAGCCCATCCTGCCTCTCCTGCCCCCCCATAGCTACCAAGAGACTGTTTACCTCCCAGAATGCTGGGGCTTGAAGTTACATTAAAGTGAAGCTATTTGAAAGACGAAAGAAAAAAAGACCCTCATCATTTCCAAGGACTTAATTACGGTGCCTTTTCCTTTCTTTTTACATTCTTCTGTCCCCCAGGGTAAATTTTTCAGCATTAAATAAAACCTTTCAAATATATCGTACGTGGCTTTAATTGTGAAGTACGTCGCGTGCTGGCAGGTAGTGCTCCCTGTGGGCCCCGCCCGGGACTCCTAGGCCCTGGGAAGACGCAGCGAGCAGGGGTGGTGCTCCCTGGAGGCTCACTGCGGTGACTGAGCCGTGATGGGGATGGCGCCTCTCCCCTGCGCTTCCTGGACCAGCGGCTTCTCTGCCCTGGGAACCGACTAGAACTGCAGACCCTCGGGCCCTGCCCCGCCCTGGATGCTCCCTGGACGCCCGGAAACCGTGTCACCATCCGGGCCTCCCGAGTGCAGGCTACAGCTCCTCCCGCCTTTGGCCTTCACTCATTCCGTGTGTCAGGTTCCTGGTTTGGTGAGGTTCTCAATTTGGTATTTTTGTATGAAATGGCTGCCAGACTTAAGCTGGAGAAGCAAAAGATCCCGGTCAGCGTGTGGCCCAGGCCAGCCGAGGGCCATCCAGTGAACAGTGTGCTTAAGCAGGTTTTCAGTATGTGGATCTTCTTTAGTGGTGCGAACAATCCATTTAGGCTTGGCTGTTTTAGAGCCGTGAACGTGTTAACTGATGTTAAAAGCACTGACAGGTTGTCCCGAGGAAGAGGTACCTTCATCACTGGTCGCCTCTTACCCCGTCCCCGCCGGCTGTGCGGCCCGTCGGCCCTTACGTGGCCGCCAGCTCAGGGCCCTTAAGCTTCTGTATGTAAAATTCGTTCCCCTCATCCCCTGAAGTCAGGGTTGTACCAAATTTAAACTGACTTTGAGTCCAAAAAGTTAGTTAATTCAGCCATTCCAAATAATGCTCTCTGGATGGCCCGAAACTCTACAATTTTTATTTTTTTTACACATTCAGCAAGTGGGGAGCAAAGCGGTGTCACTGCTGCGTGGGCACGCCCGGTCGGGGACAGCGTGCGCGAGACCCGTCTGAGCTCGCGCCTGGCGTCAAACCCGTTCCTCCTCGCAAGTAGGAGTTAAACTGGCCGTGACGCAGAAGCCCGTTCGCACCAGGCCTCCTTCCCCGCCAGCGGCAGACCGCCCTGGGGAGCACGCACCTTACTCCGATCCCGGCCCCGAAGGCCCCTCGTGGGCAGTCGGCTCCGCACGGGAGGACGGGGGTGCAGTCGGCGGACCTCACCTCCAGCGCGGAGGGGCGTTTCCCTATCAGTGGCGACGCGGGGTGATGGGAACCCACGGTGCAGCCCCCCAGCGGTCGTGCCCCAGCTGCCGAGGGAGGGGCTGCACACACGGGGAGGAGTTCGTTTGAAAATTACGCACGCAGCTTTGGGTTTAGAGGAATTCCAGAAGGTGAGGCGAGATCCTCGCAGAGCTCGGACGCCTGTGGGTTTTCTCCGTGCGCTGCGCTGCCTGAGGTTCTGGGCAAGTTTCTGACCAAGCAACTTAAGACTGCTTCGTGGAAAAGAGGAAAATACTTTGAAACAGTATAAATTAAATTTTTAATTATGGGAACACTACCTACATCTTTGAAAATTACAAGCAAAGTAAACTGCCCCACCTTTTTTATGCCATAAACGAATTTACCAGTGTCGACCTTCAATTCTAGAAACCCCTCTCTGCAGCAGATGGCGGAAGGCTGGGTTTTCTCTGGTTTGTAACCGCTCCCTCGCTCGAGCCCCAGTGTGAATGAGGACGGAGGGGCCTGCGGTGTGGTGCGGCGCAGACCGTGGGTGCTCCTGCCGGGCTCCTGGTGCGTGCAGGCCCCCCCGGTCCCCTCCCCGGGGCCGTCTGCCCCCAGTAGAGGCCCGGTTCCTCCTGCTCTCCCTTCCCACAGGGAAGCTAATGTGTGTGGCGTGTCTAAGTGTCCAGCCCACGGCTTCAGAATTTGAGCCGAGAGCGGCAAAGCTAAGTCATGCTTAGTGTAGGTGGATCTCCTCCACCGAAGTACACAAAATAGTTTCCAAAAAGTAGGAAAATAAACATATTAGGGCTTTAATCCTCTTAAATAAAATTTAAAAAATTCAGCATTAACATTTAAAATGTACCAAGCATGCAATTTTTGGATTTTGAGCAAGTCCATCTCACTGGGGATACATTCAAGTCATCAGTAACTAGCTGAGAGAGATCTGAACATTTCTACAAACAGATGAACAACGGGGCAAAAGTGACCGATTTTGTCAAATTCAGTAACTGGCAAAATACGGTGGTGAGATCTGTTCAGGTGTGTGTGCTCACTTCCAATCTGCAGAAGGAAGCCGGAAGTTGGGCATTTTCGAAGCTAGACGGTGACGATTATAAATGAACTCATGTATGTTCTTCAGCGAGGGCATGGGGAAACTTCTCTGAGCAGCTGGCTCTCGCCCTCCCTTCACTGGATGAAGGTACGGGCTGAGCACCCAGGACCCCGTGTGCCACAGTGTGCCGGAGGGCCCGGCGAGGCTGGGTGGCCAGCCAGCCCAACAGTGGGGTTCCCGAAGCCATCGGACTCATTTATGGCACTTGGACGTCGCCAGGCTTTGAGCAGCTAGAGCGTGGTTCATGACCCTCTAGGGTCCAGTCGTGTCCCGCTGGCCTGTTCTCTAAGCGTGTGGAGCGATTAAAGGTATATTAAAAATCAACGAACAGACTCCCCAATTCAAGTTCATTCACGCATCTGCACAACCGGCTTAATTTTCTGTTCAGGCACTGGTTACTAAAGCTTTCCAACAAGGACTGGGGAAGGGTCAGAAATATTCATAGAGAAGATGAACCAGCCTCTCAAGACTTACAGCAAGTGACTACAAAGAGCCCGCAGGAGCCCTCGAGGCCGCTAAGCCTCCTTCACCACCCCCACCAGGGCGGGCCTCAGGGTGCGCCCATGCAGCTTATACCCCACTTTGCTGACCAGCGCCACCGTGCCGGGCTCCTGCCCCTCCACCGGCGCGTGGAACAGGGCCTCGTGCTCGTAGGGGTCGAACCTGGCCCCCACGGGGTTCAGCCGCAGCAAGCCGTGCTTCGTGAACACCTTCTGGATCTGGACCTCAGTCATTACAAGCCCCTCGTAGAGGTTCTTCAGGTGAGGATTGTCGTCTTTAACCTCCTCCTTTGGGACACTCTGCGTCGCCTTCTCCAAGATGTCCGCGACCTCCAGCAAGTCCTTACAGAAGCCCTGGATGCCTAAACGAAGGGAAGGACACCGTCATCTGCAGTCCCACCACCGGCGGGGCACCCGAGAGCTGTGACCCCGCCGGCCTCTCACACAAACTCCTGAACGATAACCTTTCAAACTATTCACTTGTCTCAAATTTCAATCGTGTGTTAAAAAATAAAAACAAAATCAAAACAAAAACAAAAAAACACACACAAAAAACACCAAAACCCAAAAAAACTTCTGGGTTTAGATGAGAGCTAATTAGGCATGAAGACAAACAGTTCCCAACGTGCAGAAGCATCTCCCCATCAGTCCTGCCCCCCCCGCTAAGGAACCCCGCGCCCACGGCCGTTCTGTGGGCAAGGGGCGGCTGCCCTGCCAGCACCGTGGGGTCAGAGTTCCCAAGACACACCCAAGCCTTAACCCTAATCGAACAACAGAATCAGGGAGAAAACAGTCCCTCCAAACTCAAGGCAGTGGATCACATCAGACTGTTTGTGGTTTTAAGAAAATGCTTCAGATGCTGCCTGGAAGCCAGGGGTGACCGCAGCGCCCCGGTGGGCATCTGCTTCCACCCAGGCCCTGACCGGACACAAGGGCACCAGCCCCGCTCGGCTCTGCTGGAGGCAGCGCCCGTGGGTGACTTCTTGTCGCAATACTTCCCCCCACCCCCTCCTGGAAAATGAAATAATAAACTTCCTGCCTATCTGATAAGAACATGGGCGTCTACCATGGATTAATAAGCTTGTGCCAAATCTTGGGGGATGGTCTGTCCTCACGGAGTGTATGGTCCGAGACAAGCGTCAGATAAGCACACGAGTGACAAACACAATCACAAATCCCACCTCCACGAAGGAGCGTTTCTCGGTGCTGAGCAAAGCTCATACTAAGGGACTTCATTTAGACTGGAGAGCCTGGAGAGGTCTGTGAACCAAGGCCTGAAGAGTTATCCAAACATTCGAGGACCGAAGGGCGCCCAAGGCACAGGGAAGAGGCAGACCCAGAGAAGCTGACGGTTCCAGACGGGGCAGCCGAATGGGTGGATGGCGTGGTCACACTGTCCAGGCACAGGGCAGAGATACTGCAGTTCTAGCTGCAGACACCCCAACAAGGCAAAGAGCCCAGTAAAGGGAGTCAAATGCGCTTTCTGGTGTCTCAGTGCGTATGAGAGTTATGTTTACGCTGTAGTCTATGAAGTGTGCAATAGTATTATGTATAAAAAAACACACACAAACCTTAAATACATTTTGCTAAAAAATGCTAACCGTCGTTTGAGCTTTCAGTGAGGTGTGATCATAGACCATAACGAATACAATAATAACGAAGCATTGAAACTATTGTGAGAATCACTGAAATGTAAGAGAGCCACGAAGTGAGCAGATGCTGATGGAAAAATGCTTGCTCAATGCAGGGTTGCCACGAACCTTCAATCTAAAAACCGCATCATCCGTGAAACTCGGTAAAGCAAGGAACGGCTGTATTTTAAAATCGCTTTGCCTGGGGCATGGCGCTGCCAGGGCTGGGATCAGGGCAGAGTGGATGGACAGGAGGCCAGCTGCTCAGCGCTCAAGGGCCAGGGGGAACATGGGGATGGGAAAAGAGAACTTCAGATTCCTGCCCTAAATAAGCACCAGGAAAGATCACAGTATCATTTACTAAAATGAGGAAGAACAGCACAGATAAAGGGAAAATGAAATTCGAAATGCCGTGAGGCATCAGGTGCAGATGCTGGGGAAACGACAGGACACACGGGACTGGAACTCAGAAGTGTCTGAGCCACAAGAACCTGTGCGTGGGCAAGTCGCCGGGGCAACCTGGCGAGACGAGGGGAAGCCTAACCCCAATCCCTGAGGACCCCGACATGCAGAGGCCAGGAATAAGCAGATTTCAAGCAGAATCTGCTGCCTGTGGTGGCACAAGATTGGATCTCGGTTTCTACTTGGCCGTGCACCTGCCATCCGTCCTCAGGTGAAGTAGCTACGGTCTCACCATGAGCCTTAAGAGGCTCTTCCAGAACGCGGGGGAATGGCGCCCGCGGGTCTGTACAGAAGGTTCTGCGAGTACTCAAACTGTACCTGACGTTTAGTGGACACTGGGGGGCATGGGCGTGGCGTCGGGGGGCACCGGCCTCAGCATGGCCACCGCAACTTCCCAGCTTCGTGATGAGTGCCAGTCATTTAAGCCTCAATGATCTCAAATGTAAAATGGGAAGGACAGCGACAAAGATATCCAAATGCTGACGGTGCAGACAGCATCTTAGATTTTCACATGTGTGAATGCTGAGCTAGCTACGGAAATGCCCATCCGGGAGGCTGACCTGCGGGAACCATGTGCAGGCTCAGACGGCCTCAGGTTAACCGAGGTCCGCCTGGGGAAGAGCAACACACACACTCCTCACCAAAGGAGTCACACTTGCAGTTCTAAATGCGGGTCCCAGCTGCGACTTCTCCTTGCAGACTCCTCTCCACTGGAGGGAACGCACCCAGCGGCCTCCCCACCTCCTCACCCTGGCTGACCCTGCCGTTCCACACTCACACTGCCACCCCCCCCACCTTCCCCGCCCTTTATTTTTCTAGGATCAGTATCAGATAGTGTCTACCGTTACCATATAATTTTGCCTCCTCCACCAATTTCTGGCTCCTCTGCCTCAAGTTCTCGGTGTCTGCCAAAGCTCGCTTATATTTTTCCTAACAAAAAAGGGGGGGCGGTAAAGAGGAAACGTACATGAGTAAAGCAAGGAACAAATTTGTAAGAAAGCAAATCTGATATGAACAAATTCCAAGTCCAAGTAACATGTGTTACGTCTGACATTTTAGAGCACAGGCAGCAGAGCTTACTGGGTGGAAAGAAGTTACATCCGTGTCACTATTTCCAACGATTAAGAGATCAAGGGGTCATGTATCTGTGTAGCCCCCAGTGAGCAGCTGGACAAGGATGAGGAAAAACTCTCATGGTTCTGATGGTCTCATCGCCCCTCGAGGACGGACCACTCACTCCCACAGAATTTCCAACTTCAGGGAGTCCTAGAACGCTGGTTGGGGCAGACGCACCCAGAGCCCACAGTTCCAGGAGAGGTTTAGGAGAACCGCCAGCCCACTGAGGAGAGAAAACCCCATCCGTGAACCTCTGGTGTTTTGACTGCTGCCCAGTGGCCCCGTCCCAACACTTGACTGGGTAACAATCACCGATTGCTGGCGCCCTCCCCATTTCCCACCAATTTTCCTGTTACGCCACTCATCTCCTGAGCACTTCTAGCTCTGGGGCCTCTGTCCTCCAGTTACAGGTGATTCTAGTGCAGTGGTTTAGAACATGGCTCCTGAGGCTCAAACCTGGGCTGTGCCTCAGTTTCCTCGTCTGTAACCAGGGCTCTAACCGTTGACTCACAGGGTGTTATGAGGATTAATATAAATAAGGTGGTTAGAAAAGACCAGCATAAATTGTTTATTTTCAAATCCCTAAAGGACCTGATTTGTGCCACCTGTGCCTTTTCACGTGGAGTAATAACCTGTCCTTCTAACTGGTTCACTACACCCCTCCCTCCTTATGAAGAGTTCTACATAACCACACCTCTGGTCCCAACACCTGGCTTTCCGTAAGACCCAGCTTAAGGACTGCAGTGAATGTGCTTCACTTGTAAGGACCACCTCAAGTCTTAATTCAATATCATCTATGCAGCGTGTGAAGAAGATTCTCATGACAGAACCAGAGCCACAGAGGATTTGCGTTCTAGTCCCTTCTTCAGCAGGAACTTGCTGCAGGACCCGACCGCAGTTCTCAGACAAATGACCCAACTCATCTGGCCAGAGGTCCTCTGAAGAACCTCACCTGAGTTCAGCAGATCACACTTCCCCATGAGAGCCTGCGTGACCTTACCACAGTCTCCTTTAGCTGCTCCTCTAGCTTGACCTTCTCGTCCATGAGTATCTTCTCTGGAGAGGGGGTATCTGTCTTCTGTTCGTTCTGACCCACGTCCTCTTCCAGGTTCCGGCCGCTGTTCTTCTGTTTGGTGGCTGTGCAGAGCAGCCGAGGAGATGGTCTAAAACAAGTTCCCGACACTGTGAATTAAGACTGGGCTTTTTGCTTAAAAGTCAGATATATCAGTCAAGAAATTTAAGATAATTTAAAATTATTTGCTACTGACCTGTGAGGGAGAAAGAGTTTATCTTAGATCTAATAAAGGCAAAGAGTATATTATGTACAAAGGCTGCTAACTCACATAAAATCTCCTGTAATGTGTCTAAACCAGCAGGTCAATGTACCAAGGCCCCAGAACTAACCTCTTCTTTCCATTCCAAACACCTCCTTCTGAGATATGGTCGTCTAGACCCAACACATATTGGAGTAGCTACTATCAGAGGTGAGGTCCAGTGCTGATGTTGATGACAAGGATGGACTGGGCAGAGATCCTGCCCTTAGGGTACTTACTGTCAAAAAAGGTATCTACAGACAAAGTATTATAATTTGGGGTTTAAAAGTGATAAAAGAGGAATCATGCTTTAAGAGGCTCAGAGTAGAATGTTTCTAGCTTTGGAAAAGTGGAAGACCATGATTGGCTTTGTATAGAGGGGCTCTGAAGGATAGATAAGAGTTACACATAAGGAGTCAGCATTGGAGATAGAAAAGCAGGGGGATACACAGAGGGAAACAAAGAGCGCTAAATCTAATACTGGAAGTGACTCAAGACCTTATCCAATCGGATCCCCACATGAAAAAGGTTAAGTGATAAGCCCAAGGTCACAAAGTTATTAATGAAGGACAGAATGGTCTTAAACTCAGACTTCTTCACCAGGACCAGATTTCTCCTCAAGCTTAAAACTCAGATTTCTTCTAAGAGCTCTTCTTAATTGTGCCATATTTCAATCTGAAAATAAACTACAGTCAATTTTCTTCCCAGATTAAAGGAAACTGCCTCAAAGAACAGGCGAGCTGGCGGTACACAGAATATGTGTACAAGGGTGTTTATAACAGCAACAAGCCGGGGACACTGTTGAATACAGTCACTTCCACAATCTGGAATATTCTGCGGCTGTGAAAAAGAATGTCAAGCTCTCACCTCCGGGATACACTACAGGTATACTGTGTGGTAAGAAATGCAACTCAGAGAAACAGACAGAACACGAAGCCTTTTCCGTAAGGACAAACCAGAAATCCCGTGTAGGTGCACTTGTGTCTAGGCCTGGAGAAGAGTGGAAGGAGCCCTTAGTCTGTGGGGTGCAGTAACCTTTCTACCGCATTTTGTTTCTGTGATTTAAAAAGCTCATAACCTAGCAACTGAGTATGGGTCGTGAGGCCTGTCTCGTTTCTCAGTTGTGCTGGTCCCTGGGCGTGAAGTCACAGCCTTTCTACACACCCACCCCCGGAGGCTCCGCCAGAGGGGCTGGGGGCGGTGTGGGGGGGATGCAGCCGGACAGGGTCAGAGAACGTGCCTACTCTTGAGTTACGGCTCCCCCATCTGAGCCTCCTCCCACAATCAACCAGTTCTCAAGGACAGAAATTAGTGCTGCCTTGGTGATCGCTTTCCTGGCAATTAATTCAGATACAAAACCACAAACTACCCGAGAAAAAACAGCAGCCTTTTCCCTCAGGGAATCGGGGGGTCACTGCTCTGTTTCCGTATTTTGTTTTACGTGATTTCCGAGGCTAGCAATCACACCGTAATCCCTCCCACGGCAGGTGGCCCTCGCCGCGCCAGGCGGGTCTCGGGTCCACGAGAGCAAGCTCCTCCAAGGAGAAGTCCAGCTCCGGCCCCGCCCCCCTCCCACCCACTGTTCGGCCCAGAGCAGCTCCTCCAGGAGGCACCTTGGTTCCGAGCCGTTCCTCCCGCAGAGGGGATGCGAAAGACTTGCCCAGCCGCCTCGCGAGCCAGGACTCTGAGTCAGCAGAGCCCGCAGGTTGGAAGGAACAAACGGGGAGGGCCCGACTCTGCGAGCCTCCCGCGGACGACTGCACTGGTCTACCTGCACTCCTCACTCCACGGCGGGACGGGCTTCGCCGCGCTTCCGACCTGGACTCCGGAAGGAACCGGGGCCGAGGCGGACGTGCCGAGCGGCCCCGCGGTGCCGGCCTGGCGCTGCCCGGGCACGCGCGCCTGCTCCCGCGCGCAACTGGCCCTGGGAGGGCCGCCGGAGCCCGGGCGCGAGCGCGCGTGGGGCCGGTGCGCGGGGCGGGTCAGCCCCGGCCGAGGGCCAGGCCCCGGGCGGGAGGCCCGCGCGCCGCGTCGGCGAGCCGCGGGACCCACGACGCCCCTCTCCCAGGCCGGACGGCCTCGGCCCGAGTAGGAGCCGCCCTGAGGGTAGCGTCCTTCTTCAGCCACGGGCAGCCGGGCGCCCCGTACCTGAGAGACAGCGCCAAAGCTGGGAGACTGTTCCGCGCCAGCCTCACGCACCGAGCCGCCATGACTGTCGCCGTCGCCGCCGCCGCCGCCGCCGGCACTGCGCACGCACCGGGCATGCGCGGAGGCCGCTGGCCCGCCCCCTCGGGGCGCGTGGCTACTCGCGCAGACTCCGTGCTTCCTTCCCCGCCCAACCGCTTCCTTTCAGCCAATCCGTAACCGCTCCTCCTCTGATGGACAGACAGTAGTAACCAATAATTGTGGGCCGCTTCAGAGCACTCTCTCGCCGCCCCACCCCCGCCCTTCCCCTCCCGGTGGGCGAGGTCTGAGGCTTCCGGAGCCTCAGAAAGTGAGGAGGTGAAAGGTGAAGGGAGCCGTGGGAGGAGACGCTCGCGGGCGGGGCGCGGTCCAGGGTTGAACCAATGGGGAAGGAGCGCGGGGGGCGGGGCCGCCGGAAGTGCGGCGCTCGGCGCTTCCGCCGGCCTTCGCTCTGGGAGCGGGCTCGGGGCGCCGGGCGTGCCTTCTGCGGCGGGGCGGGCTCCCCGGACGCCGGGCGCTGTCAGACGCCGTTTGGGGGCCCTGTTAAAGCGGGTGCCGGAACCCAGGGGCAGATGTGCCCGCGTGGACGCTGCAGGGTGGATGGAGAGACGGGCGGCCGCTGGTTGTCTCCGCGCTGTGCTCTCAGCTGCACGTCGCAGTAAAACAAAAATCGTGACGATGAGAACAGCACCTAGGGATGCTCTGGGGACACAGCTAGAGCTCAGACATCCAGACGCTTTCGTTGACCTGGCAGAGGCCTTGCTGCTTGGTCACGTGCCCTGAAGCCGAGGCGCTGGGAGGGGAGGGGGCGCTTTGCTTAACGCCCCGGCGGCTGCCCCTCCAGCGAGGGCCGGCTCCTCTCCGGCGCTCCTGGCCCGCAGCCCCGTCCGCCAAGAGGGAGGGCTGGAGCCGGTGGTCTCGCCCAAGGGGGAGGGCTGCCTGCAGGTCTCATTTGCGAGGACCAAGCCTCTGTTCTCGGCGCGCATCGAAAGTGTTGATAATGTTGGACGAGCCTCTACACTGTGCCAGGGTCTTGTGACACCTGCCGGGGAGGCAAACCGCCAAATCCAGAATGTAGGCTGTTCTGTGGAAGAATGACCCAGTTTATTAATTAATTAAGGGGCTGGGGGAAAAGAAAGGAAGTAGGACTGTGTGACAATTAAAGCTCAAAAGACATAATTAAATGGTGTGTGGACCTTGTTTGGATCATGATAGGACAAACCAGCTGGACACGGTGAGGGGAAATGAATATAAACAGTATTATTAAGGTTTATTGACACTTGTTAGGGAGAGAATACGGCCTGGTGGTTAGGTCAAAATGCCCTGATTGTTTAGAGATGCAAACGGAAGTATTTACATTATGTTGCCACAGTGTTTGGAATTTGCTTTATCAATACTCATGTAAAAAAAATGAGGATAGGAGAAGCTCAGTGGCAAAATGTTGATAATGGTTAAGGCTGGATGGTGAATACCATCTGAGTTATAACTCCTCTTTTTTTTTTTTTTTTTTTTTAAGATTTTATTTATTTATTTGAGACAGAGAGAATGAGAGACAGAGAGCATGAGAGGGAGGAGGGTCAGAGGGAGAAGCAGACCCCCCGCCGAGCAGGGAGCCCGATGCGGGACTCGATCCTGGGACTCCAGGATCATGACCTGAGCCGAAGGCAGCCGCTTAACCGACTGAGCCACCCAGGCGCCCCGAGTTATAACTCCTCTTTTGTATATCTGAAATTTCCCGTACTAAAATGTGACACGATAATGTAACGTTTCTCACTGGCTGTGACGTCAGGCAAGCCACAGTCCTTGATCTGCTCACCTGTAAAACTGGGATTTTTTTTTAAGATTTTTAGTTTTTTTAATTTTCATTTTATTTTATTTCCTCCGCACAGAGGAAACTAGGTTTCCCAGGCTGAGAGACTTGCCAGGACGAGGGACCTGACGTCTGGCAGCAAATCTCACCGCCACTCGTCCCTAGCACACTGGCTCCAAGCAGGAAGGATGTTCTTGGTAAGAGAATGCCACCAGAAGGGGCCACAGATATTTCTGTTGAAATAATTTTCTGCAAATAAAAGAGAGCACACAAGCGGGGGAAGTGGCAGAGGGAGAGGGAGAAGCAGGCTCTACGCTGAGCAGGGAGCCCAACACCATGCGGGACTGAACCCCAGGACCCTGGTATCATGACCTGAGCCAAAGGGAGATGCTTAACCGACTGAGCCACCCAGGAGCCCAAAAACTGGGATCATATTTATTGTGAAGTTTAAAAAATACTCATTTCCTAACTTCTTTGGGCTCAGAGGGAATCAGATGGGCATCCCAAATAGCTTACAGTGCAGCGTGAGGACAATCAATGGAGAGCTATAGCCACTGGGTTCTGAGACAGAGACAAGCACAGGTTGTCGCAATGCGATGCCACGCTGGGGACACGGAACTACCAGTTGGTCCAGGCTTGCCAGGAAGCCATACCCTGGATCTGTGCCCTACCCCTTGCAATCTCCCTGAACAGGGATCTGCCTGTGCTGCCACCTTGTGGCCACATTGGGAACTGCTCCAAAAGGGAGCTGGGGCGTCACATACCAAGGTGACATTTTGCCACTGCTCTTGGGAGCCTGCTCAGGTCGTTAGTTCCCTGAGATCTTCATCAACTCAGTGCAAGTCCTCTCCTCACGGAGAGGAAGCTGCTTGTATGGGAAGACTCCTGGGTCAGCCCACAGAACACACTTTTAGCAAAGGGCATGGGTGGCCCGGGGGCAGGGATGTGGGAAAAGCAAGCTCAACAGCGCATGGTGCCCCCAAGAAGGAGGGGGTGACGTTTAAGAAGGTGTCCTCAGGTGAAGGTTGTGCAGATGGCTCAACAGCATGTGGACCATGGTGTGATCCTCATATAACAGCCAAGTGCTGGTGGGTGCTAGGCTCTGGGCAGATGTCCTTTTGGATCAGCACACAATACGGTGATGAAGGGACAGAGCCCAGCCAGGTTAGGGGGCTTGTTCAAGGTCACGAAGGCAGAAGAGGGCAGAGCTTTTGCATATTTTTCTCAACTAATCTCAACTTCCACAGTCAGAGGTGAAGCCAGAGGCTGCCTCCGTCTATCCAGAGTGTTGGCCACTGCCAGAAACTGCATTATTATTATTATGGTCCCTCAGCATGGACAGGAATCTTCCTCCTTTAATCCAACTCGAAATAAGCCAATTAAAAAAATGGGAGGGGCACCTGGGTGGCTCAGTCGGTTAAATGTCCGACTCTTGATTTCAGCTCAGGTCATGATCTCAGGGTTGTGGGATCGAGCCCTGCATCGGGCTCCTCACTGAGCGTGCTAAGAATCTTAGTCTGCTAAGATTCTTTCCCTCTGCCCTTCCCCTACTTTCTCTCTTCCTCTTCCTCTAAAAAGAAAAAGGCATAATAGGTGTGGTAGACACAATTCTGAAGATGGGCCCCAAGATACCCATCCTCTGGTTATCCAGTCCAACACAAGTCCCAACGCTGCTCTGAAGGCACTTTGCAGATGTAACGAAAAGCCCAAGCCAGTTGGCCTTCATGGAGATTATCCGGTAGGCTTGACCTTGGTGGGTGGAGAGGTTCCTCGAGCAGGCGACCCCAGAGAGCCTCAAAGCGTGAGAACAGTGCTGCTTTGGAGATGGAGGGGTCGTGTGGGAGAGAAGGCAGTGTGCGGCCTCTGGGAGCAGAGGGAGGCCCTCAGCTGATGGTCAGCAAGGAAATGAAGATCTCCGACCCACTGTTGCCAGGAGCTGGACGCCACCAGCAACTTGAAGGAGCCCCGTGGGAGCCCAGCCTGCCGGCACCTGCTCTTAGGAGGCCTGGAGGGCACTGAGCCACCGAATAATCCTGTGAGGTGGGCATTACCTCTCTTGGCTTCATTGGATCGTGTTTTGGCTCGCAGCACATGGAATGGATTAATCATAAGCCTGGCTCCCTTTTTCATCACCACTGCTCATTCTTGGCCCACTTCTGATTGTTCCTTTGTTTTGGTGGCCGACCCCTCCGCCCCGAGGAAACAAGGATTCCCAGGCTGAGACACTTGCCCGGACAAGGGACCTGACGTCTGGCAGCAGATCTCACCACCACTCGTCCCTAGCACACTGGCTCCAAGTGGAAAGGATGTTCTTGGTAGGAAAATGCCACTAGGGCGCCTGGGTGGCTCAGTCGGTTGAGCGACTGCCTTCGGCTCAGGTCATGATCCTGGAGTCCCTGGATCGAGTCCCGCATCGGGCTCCCTGCTCGGCGGGGAGTCTGCTTCTCCCTCTGACCCCCCCGACCCTCCCCCCTCTCATGCTCTCTCTCTCTGTCTCTCTCTCAAATAAATAAATAAATAAAAAATCTTTAAAAAAAAAAAAAAAAGAAAATGCCACTAGAAGGGGCCACAGACGTTCCCGTTGGAATAACTTTCTGCAAAAAGAGCCCCATCATTTGCACGGGGAGAAGCGAATGCAACAGAAACTCCCGGCATGTCCCCGAGAACTTTGGAAAGATAGCGGTTAGAACCGGCTGCCCCAGGTGCGGTCAGGGGCCTGCCATGGGCACAGTCTTCTCTTCCCGCAGAGCTGGGGAGAGGGTGGCCTTGGCTTGCCCGAAGGACAGGGCAGGAGGGAGGAGGCAGCAAGCCCCTCAGATCCTGGGGAGAGCGTCTTACAAGGCCTGTGGACATGAGGGAGAATTTGTATCTAAGGCTGATTAAATTGTTCACCACAAGCCCCCTGCGTTTCGAACCCTCCTGTGTGTTGGTCGAATTCATCATCAGCCAGAAAAAAGTCAGAACCATGAAAAGCGCTGTGGGTGAGGATTGGCAGGAGGGATCGTTTCTCATTAGAAAAACAATGGAGATTATTATAGCGGCGTTGGAGGGAGCGAACGGTAGGGTAGCCCGGGCACATCAGCCTTCCCCCACCTTCTGCGGCTGTTGTGCGCGTCCCCGTGAGGAAGCTGAGTGCCTGGGCTTTGTCTCCCCTTGGCTCTGCGCTTGGATTGGTCATGAGCCCAGGACCGGAGCCAGAAGCATCTTGAGGTGACGGCAGTGACCCTGCGGGACCACGGGTCAAGTGGGTCTCTCCCCTGAATAATGAGGCTAAGGACACTCGCGCTATCGTGAGGAGCATGTGGCTTTGCCGCACATCCCCCAGACGATGACCTGTCACAGGGACAGTGACTGCCACCAGTAACAGTGTTCGGGAAAGCGGTGTCGCGTTGGTGATGGATGAGGTGTGTGGTGCCTTCCCAGGAGCGGTGCTCGAGGGCGCAGGGGTTCGGGGGAGCCGTGTCTGAAGCTGGGGCGTGCAAGAGCCTCCTCTGTCCCATCCCCTGCTGCTGGCAGCGGGGGCAGCTGTCAGGGAACACTTGTGCTGATGCAGGGCCCACACGGGACAGCCACGGACGCGGCGGGTGCACCTGCCCTGCTCTCATGCCTGAGCCCTCCTGGGGTCAGGGAACCAAACAACTGTCCCTGAAGCCAGAGACACTAACCTCCCCGCCCTGTGCAAACGTCTAGGGGTGGGCAGTCCACGGCTCCCAGGGTGGCTCCGGGGCCCAAGGTTATCAGGGGTCCAGACTCCTTCCCACTTGCTGCTCTCTGCCCTCCCCCAGGTGTGGCTCTCGCCCTCACGATGTGGATGGAGCTCCGGCCGTCACAGCAGCATCCCCAACAGCAGACCCGCAGAGTTGGGGGCTGGGAAAGGCCACACTGTAGCGATCTCTCAGGGAAGTTCTGTGCAGGGGGGCTGTGAGCTGGGGAGCGGGGTGCTGTGGGCCCAGCCTGCCAGCTTGCCCCTTCACATTCTGTCCCATCCTGGCCTCCCCCTGCATTCACCGATTGGACTGCTTTTCCCTGAGGTGTGAAAACTTAGAAAGCACCTTCTCCAAAGGGAGTTTCCAAAACTGAAGATGTTCCTTCCAGAAACAAAGCCAGTGACCTGAGGCCACAGGAAAGCAAACTGGAGCTGGGCCAGGGCCTGCGACCCCAGGAGGAGCCCTGCTGCGCCCCCGGCCGGGGGAACCCAGCCTCCTGCCGGCCCGCGCGTCTGCCCACAGCCTGAGCCGCAACCGGCAAGGGAGCAGCCCCACTTGGTGCTACAGGTGGCCGGCGCTGAGCCCGGTTTCTGGAACAAGCAGCGTCGGGGTAGGAAGCAAACACGCTTCAGTCCAGAACCTGCTTCTTAGAAAAATCGGGTTGCAAAACATGCACAACGTTTTAAAGAGGGTTTTCAGGATGACTCCCCGCTGCTGGGGCTGGTGGTGGCTGGGGGAAGGGAACTTTTTGCTTGTCCTCTATCAGGCTGGCGGATGCTGAGGACCCACTCTGTGCCAGAGGCTCTTCCAGAGTGTCGCAGAGCTCCCTTTATGCATCGAATCTTGTAGCCACTGTGGGGCGAGGGGGGGGGGGGGCGGGGAGGTTGTTGTTTTGTGATTGTTTTGCTTTTTCTGTTTGTCTGCGCTCACTGGCCTAAGTTTGATGTTCTTCCTGGGACAGGCTGGGCCCCCACCACCCCCAGCCTGCGGCTCTGCCCATCACCTGGCCTCTTACGGGATCCCATCCTTCGGCAGAAGCGACAGGCCCGGAGACAGGGGATGCGACCCAGGCAGGGCCAATCAGATCCTTCCCTGGACGTGCTGTGTGGAAGCTGGGGGAGCAGGTCTCTCCCGCCAGGGTCCCCACGCGGGGAGACGGGCTTCTGGAGCCCTGCGCCCCTGCCCACCGCGCCCCAGGGGGTGGACCAGCAGAGGCACGCGGGGAGGGGAGGCTGGAGACACAGATCCCCGCCCCAGAGCCTGAATCCTCCCCCGGAAGCCCTTTCTTCACTCCCGAGGCCCGTCAGCACCCGTCCCTGCACGGGGAACCAAGTTCCGATTGACTCCGTTTGCCTGCGGGGCTTTGCGTCCGTCTTCCGTCACTTACCGCTAAGGTTGTCACCACAGTGTCCCTGCACCGTCACTGTGACCCCGTGGACAGAGGAGGGTGCTGCGGGGAGTCCAGGTCCCACCCTCGTGCGCTGTGGACCGCACGCTCTTTCCAGCACCCGCTCTTCCCTCTCTCAGTAAGTCCATCGCGGCCCCCGCACTGTGGCCGTTTCTCCGTAACCTCCCTGAGGAATGCGGGGCCCGAGCTTAAGTCAGAGCTGTGTGTGCGCTCGTGTGCGCTCCAGCCCCGGAAGCTCAGTCCCCGTGTTCCTTCATTCTCAGATCCAACGGGCATCTGACCCGCGCAACGGGCATCTGACCCGCGCTGTGATGTTCGCTGCCGCTGTCACCGCGGGGCCCTTTCCCCAGCACGCTCCTGCTGGGCTTTGCTTCCAGCTGGGTCCGCCGGCTCAGGCAGTGTGAGCGGGTCCTACTCCGTCTAACCATGAGACTGTGGGCTGCTGTGTGGAAACCCCCGGGCCGCCCCCAACCGCGACAGCGTCGCTTGCGAGCATCAGGGGCTCCCTTCCCTCACCTCCCCGGCGGCTCGGGGGAGAGTGAGTGAGGCGTGCAGGTAAGCCCGGGACGCAGACACCAGGCCTCGGCCATCCTCCCCCCCCCCCCCCCCAGAGAGCTGCTGAGTTTCCCCAAGTTTACGTCTAGAAATCCATGGCCGAATGTTTTGGGTTCTACCAACTTAGTGGACAATCAGGTAAGATCCAAGTGCATAGTCCTACAGACTTCTGAAAATCAAACGTATCTGGGATGAGAAATGGCACCCCTGGGCATTCCCCCAAGGGAATCGGGAGCGGGAACGGAGACATTTGTGCACCCTCATGTCCATGACAGCACTGTTCCCAGGAGCAGAGAGGTCGGAAGCGGCCCCCAGGCCCTCGGAGGGAGGGTGGACGGCCGGTCTGTGGTACTTTGTTCCATCCCGAGGAAACTCAGACGGGTGGCCCAAAACGACCGCGATGATTTCTTGCTGCTGCGTCTGTGTTCAAGTTGCCCTCTCCCTTGAAGGGCGCCGGTCATATCGGAGGAGAGCCCCCCTCTACTCCATTACGGCCTCAGCGTAACTAACTCCATCCGAAAAGACGTCATTCCCAAAAAGGTCACGGTGACAGGCACTGGGGTTTAGGACTTCAACACACCTTCCGAGGGGATACCGTTTAACCCACAACAGTCTGCCCTCTGGCTCCCTAAATTCATGCCCTTCCCATATGCAAAGTACATTCACATTAGCCCGATAGGCCCCCAAAGTCTTAACCATTCCAGCATCGAAATGCCGTCAGGTCGGACTCAGATCTTGACTCCTCTCTGTATCTGAGGCCCACGCGGGGGACACGCTCGGGGAACGTTGGGTGGAGAATCCAGATCCAGGAGCCACTCCCGTGCCACTCTGCTCTGGTGCAAAATCCCAACAGCCGCCACCACAAGCATTCTCGGGCTCGCTCAGCGCTCACTGCCCACCTCGGGGGCTGCCCTCGGGATCCCGCGGGGCGCCGATCCGACGGAACCCCTGAGGCTGGAGGGAAGCCCAAGACAGAGACTGGTGATCGGAATAAAATGTAATACCTGGCTTCCATCAAGATGCTTAGCACACACTCTTTTGTGATTGCTTACCTAAAGCAACCCGAAAAACTGCATGAGACTGCATTTTTGTACAACAACGTGAAACTGTTTCTACTGACTTTTTGTTTGCTCTTGTGGAGACTTCACGTCTCTCCTCCAGGATAATGTGGTCTTTTGTCTTCTCAGAGCTCATGGAGCTGTATCTTCCGGCTGGGCCTCCCCCTCTTCTCTCCCCCGATGGCTGGGCTCACTGGGGTCCTTCCGCCTGCTCACCTGCAAGGGTGGCCCCACATCTCTTCTCCTTTATCATGTGCTGTGAATGCCAATGCGAGGCCAGGCCACTGTCTTTGGGGAACAACTGAGGGAATGGGCTGTTCCAAGTGCAGGCGGCCATCTGGGAGGGTGGGAAGGGAGGGAACACAGAGAGAAGGTTCTGGAAGGAAGAGCATGTAATGCATGCAGGGCGGTTGTTGGGGAAGCCAGTGAGAAGACAGGCTGGGTGGAGTGGATGTCTATTTCTGCCTCTGCAGGATGTGCTCTCCAAAGGGGCGAAGGTCTCGGTGGAAGGAGGCAGTGCCACTGGTCTCCAGGGTGACACTCTCTTGACTCTCCAGGACTCAGTTTCCCCATCTGTGAAACGGGACGAGGAGAACCCACCGAGACGTCACACAGTTGTGGTTCACGCATTCGGTCATGTGCTGAGCCATTCCAGGGGCCGGGTGGGTATCGGACGCAGGGGTGCTGCAGGGTAGTAGGAGGGACGTAAGGCTCTCAGTCTGTGGTAGATAGCTGTAGTTATCGGTTGACGTTGTGCCTTTCAAGTCAAGCTTGCATCATGAACCAGAGCCTGTGGGTAGAAGGGAGGGATTTGGGACCAACATAAATAACGTGATCACCATAGGTAGTGAGCTTGCTGTCAGTGGAGGAAATCAGGCAGCTGCTGGCTGCCCTCGCAATTACAATCCAAGATGATGTGGCATGTGGTGAGGACCTGGAGGAAAGGCCCAGTGAGTGAGGGCAGAGTGACAAAGGGGTCACCTGGATCGGATTTTAATTCTACCCCCAAAGTAATGGGGATCTGGAAAGCCACTTGGGCAGAACTTCCAAATCATCAGGATGGGGGGTTGGGGAGGGCCTGCAGGGCCCCCTGGAGGGAGAGGAGGCTGCCTTCCGGCTGGGGGAGGGGAGCCCTGGTGGCCTGGTGAGGCCTCCTTGGTGGTGGGAGAGGGTGACAGCCCCTGAGACAGTGTTCCCAGAGGGAAGGACAAACTGTGTTCCACTGGACTGTGGGGTCCTTGAAAACAGGCATGGGGTCTTTTATTTTCGTTTCTGTATCCCCAGCACCCAGCAAGGAGAGGGCTGGGCCCACATGAGGTCTTTGGAAACAGTGGCGGGGTGGCCGACTGCCTCGGGATGCACGGTGTTTTGTGATAGAATCAGAGCTAGAACCTTGTGATGGTCAATTTTCTGGTTCAGTGTGGCTGGGCTCAGGGATGCCACAGAGCTGGTGGAACATTCTTTCTGGGTGTGTCTGGAAGAGAGGAGCGTTGCAAGCAGGTGTGCGCTCCTCAGTGTGGGGGGCCCCACCCCGTCCACTGAGGGCAGGAACAGAACACACAGGTGTGGAAGGGCGAATTTGCTCTCTCTGCTTGAGCTGAGACGTCTGTCCTGTGCCCTGGCTGCGTGCACAAATCTCCAGGGTGTGCAAATCCTCAGGGACAGCCGCAGGTGGAAAACGCTGTGCGGGATAGAGCTGTGGGCAGGGAGTCAGGACCTGCGTTCCCAGCTGGCCCTGTCCCTGACTCAGTGTGTGACAAGGACAGCATCTATTTTGGGGCACCTGGGTGGCTCATATGGTTAAGCGTCTGCCTTCGGCTCAGGTCATGGTCCCAGGGTCCTGGGATCGAGCCCCGCATCGGGCTCCCTGCTCAGCGGGGGGCCTGCTTCTCCCCCTTCCTTTGCTTCTCCCCCTGCTTTTTTTCTCTCTGTGTCTCGAATGAATAAATAAAAAAATCTTAAAAAAAAAAAAAAAAAAAAAAGAACAGCGTCTATTTCTCTCTGGTCCTGTTTCCCGGGCTCTAAAACACAGCCCTGGCTTACATGGTGGCTGGAGCCCACTGTCACTCCTGACAACGCATGAGTCCCAGGCATGGTGGGGAAGAGAGCTCATGGGGGAGGTCTGCTGGCAGGGACCCCACATTGTTCTCTGGGCCCCCTGGCGAAGGCCTGCCCATGCTGGGGAGGCTCAGGGCTCGGAGTGTGGAGACCCACCGGCCAGCAGATAGAAGCCACATTCTCCAAAATCAGCTTCCCCCGCAATGAAGGGAATATTCTAGTTTCCCATCTGCCAAGTGGTTTTCCTGATTTCTTGTTCAGGACAGAGAGGAGCCATTGGCTAGGCCCCCGCAAACGTCTGATCACGTAATTCCTCTTCTCTGTCTCCGGGTGGCTCCCTGCTGCTGCCAGGATGAAGCGCACATGCTCAGAAGGCTGGCCCCAGGGACCTCTGCCCTTAGTTCCCCAGCCCCCATCAGCAAACTCAGCATCTTGCAGACCCTCTGTTCTCTAGAGTCTCGGCCTGGAACATTCCTTCCTCTCCTTCTGAATTCCCTGCCCCCAAGTCCTTTTGCCTGGCTTATAGCTATCTTTTGACTCAGGTCCTAACCTGACTGTCACCTCCTCCAGGAAGCTTTCCTGGATTGCCCAAGCTACTTTATCCTTCCTCCATCGGGGCCCTGGTCACACTGGGAGGTCTTTGCTCTTGTCTGGGCTGAGGATGAGGGCTGGGCTTGACTCCTCTCGGGGCTGTTGAGCAGGACAGAATGACCAGAGCTAGCAGCCACCCTGGGACGTCTGAAGGCACTGTTTGCCCCCCTCCATCCTTCCTCCATCACTGTTCCCTCCTCGTCCCTTCCTTCCTCACTGGGTTCCTTTTGTCCTCCACTCCTGGATTCCGTCACGCCCTGGGATAGGGATAGCACTGCAAGGAGGCCTCCTTCTGAGCTCCTGACACCCCCTCCTGGAGCCCAGCCTTCTCTGTGGGCCACCCCCGCCTTCAGTTTCCCGTGTCAGTCTTGATTCACTGGACATGTCGGGCCTGCTTGCCAGGTGTCTGGCCCCGTCTGGAAGTAAGCATTTGCTTCCAGGTGATAAACGGGCTCACCGGGGCTGGGCCCTCAGCCAGCACCCTGGGCCAGTCCCCCGCAGCCCTGCTCTTTTCCCCGACTCCGCTGAGTTCAGCCAAGAGAGATGACTTATGTAAGTTGTCCCGTTTTTCTTTGTTTGTTCCTGGAAATATCTTGCATACACTATTTGTGTTTTGAAAAAATCAATGCAACAAATGGCGTTCAATATGCTCCATCGCTGGGAAGGATGGAATCGTTTCTGTCCCTGCATTTCTATTCCTGCCCATAGGGAAGGCATCTTGGCAGATAGATGCCCGCAGGAGAATGCTGGAGGTGTTTGGAATTTGTCTTCACAAAGCGGGGGAGGAGCAGGAGCTCCGATCGCCTTGTGCAACAGGGGAAAGATCTGTGCCCCTAGCAAAGCTCTAACTTTGTGGAAACTCGTGTGATGAGCCTCGTGAGCTGCTTGGGGCACTGAGCCGAGGGCTGTCCCTGGAAGGCCCGGGGCCTCTGGCCGTGCCCCCGGTGCCAGCCTGACTTCCAGTTGCCCGCACCTATGGCTCTCTGCCGGGCCCGCCCTGGGGCTTCCGGGCCCAGCTGTGTACGTGCACAGTGGCTGCGAATGCTTGGGAATCAGCCCATCCCTGGGGCCACCCTGACCCAGCGCCAACACCCATTCAGCAGCTGGCTGACCCGCCAGCTCCGTGCCCGGCGCCACCGTTGGAGGTCAGCCTGCTCCTGCCTTCAACATGCTGACCGTGCACGGGTGAGACCATTGGAACAGAGGTTTGTAAGGGAGAAACCTTCCCCTGAAGACCTTTCCAGAGTCATCCATCACGGGTAGGGCCAGCCTCCTTTGCGGGCTCATTTCCCAGTGGGCCCCATCTCCACACAATCCTCTTTTCTCCACCCTCTCCCTCCCCACCCCTGCGCCGGTGTCCTGACCTCCAGCCCCCGCAGACTGGCCTCCAGTCCCTTCACAGTTTACAGCGCTCTGGGTTTGCTGTCCATGGGAAACACCCATTCCTTTTGCTTGGGCGCCTTACTCATCCTTTAAGCCCTCCTGGGCAACCTCTCTATGGGTCACGTGTCTCCTGGGCCTCCCCAGACTACTGTACTTCTCTGGCCCAGCCCTATCAACCTTCATCAGTGTTGTCTTGTTGCATTTCTGTTTCTACCAGCCTGAGCTTCTTGAGGATGGCTCTTAGCACAGAGGAGGTGCTTAGTATTAAGTTCTTATGGAAAGAATGGGTGGTGGATGGATGGATGGATGGATGAATGGATGGGTGGGTGGATGGGTGGATGGATGGATGGATGGACAGTGAATGGATAAATGATGGATGAGTGGTTGGTGGATGGATAGATGGGTAGTGGGTGGAGGATGGATGGATTGATGAGTGGGTGGACAGTGAATGGATAAATGATGGATAAATGGATGGAAGGATGGATGGATGGATGGATGGATGGGTGGACAGAGAATGAATAAATGATGGCTGAGTGGTTGGTGGATGATGGATGGATGGATGGATAGATGGATGGACAGTGAATGGATAAATGATGGATGAGTGGTTGGTGGATGGATGGATGGGTAGTGGGTAGATGGATGGATGGATGATGAATGGGTGGACAGTGAATGGATAAATGATGGCTGAGTGGTTGGTGGATGGATGGTGGATGGATGGATAGATGGATGGATGGACAGAGGGATGCATGGCTGGCTGGCTGGCTGGCTGAATGGATGAAAGGATGGATGGATGGATGGATGAATGGGTGGACAGTGAATGGATAAATGATGGTTGAATGGATGGAAGGATGGGTGGATGGATGGGTGGACAGAGAATGAATAAATGATGGCTGAGTGGTTGGTGGATGGATGGATGGGTGGATGGACAGAGGGATGCATGGCTGGGTGCTTGGCTGTATGGATGAATGGATGGAGTGATGCTTGAAGCCAGTACATTTCTGAGCGAGCATGCTCTCTTTAGTCTCAAGTTTGCATCCTGTCTAGCTGAGCCATCCCAATCTTCCCCTACTTCAGCCCCCCTCTTCCTTCGAACACCCAAGTCGGGGTGGTCTCACGGGCTTTCCTGGGCAGTGCAAGTCTTCTTCACCATCTGCCCCAGGAGGCCCTGTGGCTCTGCAGGCCTGGAGTTAGCAGGGCGGGCATGCAGGGGTGCTGGTGAGCTCCTGCTGCGCTGTCAGCTGCCACATTTGGTCCCCCACTGAGTCTGGGGGCAGTAGAGAGAGTGAGAAGCCTGGGT